TTTTTATCAAATCTGATACTTATAACATTAGTATTTTTGTCAAAATAAAGTCACATGCTAAAAATAGTTTGTTTCAAGTTAGAACACAATTACGAAATAGATTATCATTTAGATTATAAGCTTTAGCTTTCTATTAACAATATATTAGACGTCAAATAATAGTTTCATTGATATTTCTTTAAGGGCATATTATTTGAAATATTCGCTCCTTACGTGCTAAAACATTACTTCCGGGATTCTATAATATGGATAAGAATTACTCAAATAATAATTGGTCAAACGAGACATTTATGATATTGTCAAGAAAAAAGAGCAGAAATTGAGAATGATGATGAGGTGAGTTCGGAATTGATAGATGTCCTATTGACGTTACACACACCACGTGATCAGAACGGATATGATGAAGGTGGAATACCATTGAGTGATCCAGACGTTTGTGCTACCCTCATGGAAATCTACATGGCCGGTATAGATACTGTAATTTCTTCTGATCCTTTTTATTATTAGACCGGAAATACTTTTTGTTTCGTAATTTGACTATTTGCTCATCATCCTAAAGTTTCCAAGAAGAAATTAAAGAAATCCTTAGGGATGACACGACACGACAGATTACCTATGAAGATTTAGATAAATTCACATACCTTAATGCCATTATTAAAGAATCTCAACGAGTCATTTCACTTGCTCCATTTACATTACGTAAAGTGATCTTGGTGGAAAGAGTTGGGAGACTAATACAACTTTCTTTATTCAACATGAATCGCCCGATTTTTGGGAATCTCCTGATCAATTTATTCCGGAAAATTTTAAAAAGTCTGACCATAAAATTGTCAAGAACACTTACAGTCCTTTCGGAGGTCTATAAGAATTTGTCCGGGAAAAAATATGGCTATGGTAGAATTGTAAATCTTTATTGATTTTATTGAATTAGGTCTCTAAGAAACCCAAATTTATATATGTTGGAACCCTATCATTGCACTGAGATGAAAGTCATTGCACGCCTAGAAATTGTAAAATATAAAATAGGTTGATGGAGATAAATTAGAAATTCGTTACTTATTACTTTTGTTTTTTTATTATGCTAAATATGATGTAATTTGATTCATATAATTTATTAATAAATATATACAGTAGGTTAACGGATTTTAAAAATAAATGGGTTACACAAATATGATTAATTGTAACTTAATAATAACCCAGACAAGTAATTGAACTTTGTTTAAAAAATTATAATAAACATGTTTCGAAAGTACAGAGTAGGGATTGGAATCGATTCTAATAAAATCGAAATCGATAATCGTATAAAAAATCGAATCCATTTTTGGACGTAAAATGATATATATAATTGTCAGCACATGGCGCATTAATTATTAATGGAGTGGAAGTTAAATTAGATGTTTATTTATAAATATATGAAAGAATGAAATATTTATGACAAATATTCATGTCAATTACAAATTATTATACATATAATTGTATAAATTGTATATAGTATTTTTAATTAAATTGATTTTCGCGATAAATTATTATCGGTTTTACGAGGTTTGCTAACTTGACGTGAAATAATTTTTTAAAAGTTTTAGTATAAAATTGATCGGTGTTTATTTTTTAAATAATCCAATTCTAGTTTTAACCCTAACCCTAATCTTAACTATAAAAACATAATCTGACTCTAACCCCAATCATAACCCTAATCATTCTAACATTAACTCGTAATTAATGTAATTATATTTTATAATGTGATTTTTATTAATTTTTAAATAATTAAATTTTTTAAATTTAATTATTTTTTTTTTAAAAAAAAAATGTAGTATTTTTTATTTTATTATTTTTCTGTGAATTTCTATTTTTTTTTAATTTAAAGTTAATGTTTTATCGGAATTAATTTAATTTAATTTTTTTTTTAGAACGTTTGTAATTTATACCGGTATAAAATACATATCAAGCGCCAGGCCCTGCATACAAGTTCAACTAGGTTTCCGTTTGAAATACAAATTTCATTACAAATATTTGAAAGTATTTTAAAATAATTTCAAACGAATATCGAAATATATCGAAAAAACCAAAAAAACAAAAAAAAAAAAAATGAAATGCGAAAAAAAAAAAAATAAACAAATCGATTGACAAAATGATTGATTTTGGTATTCGAAATCGATTTCGATATCCGAATATTAATTATGTATTTTCGAATATTTGAATTTTATTTATTTACAAACAAATATTCGAATATACTATTTTCAAACGGAAACCCTACCGGTAATCTGTTACAGAATATTAAGTAATATATTATATTCCAATTAAAAACATCATTATGCATTGCATAAATGTTTGTCATCACGTGACGTGACGAGAAATTACTATATATGTGAATTTTTTTATTTTACTTTTTTTTTTCATAAGGGATTAACTTCCTCTTTTAATCAAATACTGCGGGAAACCAAAATTATTTATTCCGTTATTTTTTTTTTTTTTTTAAGAAAAAATGTCAAAGCTTAGTAAAGATATTCTTTATTTGATATTTGAAGAATTACAAGGCGATACAAACTCCCTCTTTTCATGCCTATTAGTCAATAGACTTTGGTGTGAGGTTGTGGTTCCGATCTTATGGAAGGATCCTTGGTACCCTACAAATATAGTATCAAAAAGTAATCGAATTATAAATTTATTGTACAACATCTTTACCTTGATTTTATACGACAATAGTGAAGAATTTTTAACCAGTAACGTCCAATTCTCACGCCGACCACTTTTATTTGATTATCCGTCATTTTGCAGATGTATTAATGCAAGTGCTATAAACAAGATGTCTTTAATCTACTCTTCTTCAGCCAGTGATCAATTTTATTTTCAACAAGAAATTTATGGTCTCATTATGAGGAAATGCCCAAGGTTAAAATATTTGGATATGAGAATAATTCAACACCAGATATTTTTATTTCCAGAAGCAACAAATCTTCTCCAATCATTGTGCGTATTAAAATGTGATACGACCATGGAATCCGCATACTTTTATGGAATAGCACGGATCTGTCAATCTATACAAAGGTTGTTTATTGATAATTCAAGCTCAAAAGGCAATGATGGACTTGTTTTTTTGATTGAAGCTCAAAGAAATTTAAAATATTTTGAGTGGTATGATGATTTAGACGTTGATTATTCGAATGCATTAGATGAATATTTTATGAAAATTTCTTCGGCCTTAAAGAAAAATGCAGACACCCTTATTTATTTTAACAGCATTGAATATTTTGCCAACAAATTATCAAAGTTACTTCCAGAATTTCATAATTTAAAGGTATTAATACTAAACGACGTTACAGATGTCCTTGAATATCATTTGAAAACTTCGAGATTTCAACATCTTGAAGTCCTTCAAATAGATTATATTACGATTAACACGGTTAATTGCATGATTAGAAACAGCGGAGGACGTCTCAAACTAATTTTTATCTGTGAACCTGAAATCTTTGACCATGACGAATCCCTTACATTTATTCGTACCGTTCGTGAAAATTGTTCTTTAATTGAATATCTATCACCCGTGTTCATCACATCAGACGATCATATCATTGAACTTGAACATTTGCTGATGACTTGCCAAAAGTTGAAGCTATTAATATTAGCAAAGTATAACAACTATTATTTGGATGAAGATATAACATATGAAAAAAGAATGATGGCGTCGGGAGAAAAAATATTAAACGTATTAATTAACTCCGCTCCTATTAGTCTAAATGTAATTGGAACGATTTATGATTGTAAATTTTCAATTAATATCCTAGGAAAATTTTTCGAGAATTGGAAAGGTCGTCCGGCTCTTACTTTTATTACATCAAAATATGGATACGACAATGAAGAATATACGAAATTAATTGATAAATACAAGGATGATGTTGTGATTAATGAATTTACATATAGATATATGGAAAGAATCGTTGACTATTTTAGATCATAGATTGGGAGTTATATTATAATTTTTACGATTAATAAAATATTCAAGATCACGTTATATATGTCATTGGTTTTGCATTACATAATTACTTTCTTTTTTTTCTGGAGATTAAAAATCATCTCTCATACCAAGAAGTATAATTAATTGCATCCGATTTTCTAGTATCGATACAAACATTATAAACATTTGGTGATGCTTACGATCTCTTTCTTTTGCGAGACAAGTAATTAACAGTGATTGAATTATTAGGAAATTGATACGTTCATCCTGCGCTTTAATATGGTTAAGATCTTATACGTATCATTGAATGAAACACAATTTTTTTGCATAACATTCATATTACCGTCAGAAATGATAAATTTATTTTTGTTGCATACCTTTTAGAAAAACTTATGAAGTTCAATTAATCATCAATCTTATAAATTAATTGTCCAGAGTAGTGCTCCGTAAGGGTCGGGTCGGGTCGGGTTTGAAGCATATTCGAACTCGAACCCGTTAATAATTACAGAACCCG